ACAACATCTGTAATGATTATAAAGTTGTTATTCAAGCTGTTCTCGATATTTGGTCAATATTTAAATAATCCATAACAAAACATGGTACTCGTTGTTACCTTGCCTAGTGCTCGGTATCGAGGGAATGAAACAAGGACTGGTAGGCTAAGAGTCAGTATGATGGAGTAGCACTATAAAACCGGCATTAGTCAAGACGAGCAAGCAGCAATAATCCTGAACTCGACGCTTAACCCCATTTCACCTCACCTCATTAGCAAATGTTGCTAATGTCGCTTGATTTCTTTAACTGGCACAACATATAGTCTTGTCTTAACTTTCTGCAGTCCCAATGGTACATGTACCTGGAGGAGGGGCAACTTCCAAATCTATAGTATCATTTGGCCTTCGTCCTTTCCTGTGACCATGATGTTGGCAGTTGACGTTTGAACTTTTGACAGTTGGACACATTTATGTTAATGTCTATAATGTACATGGTTGTTGACTCGAATCGATAATTTCTGTTGTTCCTCCCCAACATAACTCAATGCACAAATGGTACATTCAATACAATAGAGCTTGTTTTAAGTTTGTCATAACAGTTCTTCAAAAGGTTTTTTGCATTTCGTTTTAGCTGTAAAGTTATGTTTGAATTCAGGATAGGAAAAGTTTTGCAATATTTGCCATTTGGAGAAACACTGAATGGCAATGGGTTTCGAAAGATCAATGTCCTCAAACATTGCTGAACATTTTATTGGTGATGTAAGTACACAGATAGAGTTCATGATTTCTCAATCACTCGAGATGATGCCACAGGTTTTGCCTCATAACATATGCAAGTATGAAACAATACAATATAAAAACATAAGAATGCGTCATGTATTATTCATGTCGAAAATAATAATAAAGAATAAAACATGACGTCGACAAATGTACATGATTGCACCAAATGTAACACACAATTAGACTCAACGGAGAAACAACAAAGCGTTAATCATCACTGCGAGTATTCATTTTTATGTTAATGACAAAGAACATGATTAATACACAAACTCGTCGAGCAGAAGCGAGAACAGCGGACACATCAGGTCGATGCTCTGGATGTAAATAGCTCAAGTATTTGGGGTTCGTATTGATATTTTACTTTATACATCGTACGACTTCGTTACAACCAGAGTTGTTTTATGTGTAGGATGAACAACACGTTGGAAACTTCGGGAGTGCCGACACGTAGGCAGTGACCGGTTTGTCTCACGCTTGAGCCATTCGAGAGATAATATGATTGAGATAATAGGTGTGGGGATAGGAATTGGGGTGGGGGTGGGGGGTGGGGATGGGGTGGGGGTGGGGGGTGTGGGGGGGGGGGAGGTGGAGTCAGAAGGTGTGTGTGTGTGTGTGTGTGTGTGTGTGTGTGTGTGTGTGTGTGTGTGTGTGTGTGTGTGTGTGTGTGTGTGTGTGCACCTGTGCCCTACAATTCGCTGTGCACAGTTATGCCAGATACCTATATTCATTTCTTCGTATCCCGGTTTGCCGTGATTATGTTTCTGGGTTTGTCAGCACCGTCCCCTTATTTCACTCATATAAATAACAGCTTTTACATTCCCAGTTTTCCCTTATCACACCTTTTCCTATCCGGATTAAAGAATGGCAGGTTCGGAGATATGCTCCTTTGAATATATATTGCTTAGGTAAAATATAGCAGTATAACCGTCAAAAGTTGGATCGAGAAAACCAAGCTGAAAGTGTTATCGAGTCTGGACAGATGGCCTTTCATTCTATACCGAACAATGAAATCTGAACACATATCACTTTCTAAAGCCGGTACTATATAGAGAATCTCACCCGAGTTTCTTTTGATATCAAATATATCAACACGAGTTGATAAAAGTGGAAAAATCCGAGGCTTGCCGAGGATTCTTGCCACTTTTATCAACGAGTGTTGATATATTTGATATCAAAAGACACGAGGGTGAGATTTTATTTATCATCCAACATCATTCTTTCAACTTTTTCAATTTGTAGACAGTAATTAGCAGTGTCTTCAGTGTAAAAAGTACTGCAAACAGCTTCAGTAGCAGAGCCATTAGTGATGTCATTTGATTGTGACGTCATGGTAACCAGTGACGTCACAATGGTCTGCAAAGCATTGTGATGTAATTTCATTGCAGCGATATCTACAGTGTAGATATCGCTTGATCTCATCCAAGCGATATCTCCTGTGGGAGCCAGTTTTGGATGATAAAATTATTTAAACACATTTTTACAACAATATTACACAACTTGTGAGCTATAATAATCTGAAAGAGCATGCTCTTTCTACGAAGAGTTCAAATTTGACTATTAGATAGTGATTCATAAACACGTGTTCTTTATACAGTCGGAATCGTACAATGGACTTCTTATAATGACGGAAAAGATCCTCTCGCATTTGTTGAATGACCTAATGTTCTACCAAAAGCAGCAATCATCCATTTGTGGATATAAACCAAACATAACGTGGTAGCAACGTGGCTGGCTAAATGTTCTAAAGTGCCCCGATTTATCTGATCATATAGACACTTACACTGAGCTTCAGTCCAGACAATTGAATTTAGCCTCTCTCAATTAGATATCCTGGTACAAGGGCAGTACGTCTTCCAGTGTTATTTTGCAGTCACCAACATGAACCCTGGTCCTGTCAGCCAATGCCTTCTAGGTACGGAAAGTGAACATAAATACGTAGGTAATGACTCAACGTCTGCTGAAACAAATACACACGACCTCAGCTATATTGATCTGGTGACAAGTATAAGCCTGGAAAATGTTAAGCAGCACGGCTTCGGTATAATAATGTTCACATTGAACGCCACCGGTGGGGCAGGATACGCTCATCTTATCGCGAACACCTGGTATCATCATTATTTAGATAGTGTTTCATAAACACATGCTCATGAAATAGTCGGAATTAATTTATCGTAATCTGCTTTTAATGGGGAACTCTTGTGGATATGGACAGGGTTGTATCGTGTGTATTTCATATATTGAACATTTCGATGTATGACATTGTTTTCATTCATATTTGATAAATGCCATAGATAGTATTGTTACCTGGTGATACGTTGGTACAAGAACACCATATGTTTCTTCAGATAGTTGCAAGTATTATATGATGCAAAGAGGCAGAGGAGACCATTCAAACGGCAGTCAAGTAACAATTGAGATAATCAACAAATGTGTTTCATCAGTCAATTAAAACAGCATACGTTTTACAAGATACATCTTATGGAAATATATAGTAAACCGTGATTTACCTTTTCCCAGGTGGATATGATAAATTACGTGCATGGTTTATTGGAATAAGAATATCTATTTACACTCGTGTCTTGTCCAACAATAAAACGTATAGACAGAAATTCACACTTCACTCACTACACTACACTTTTATTACTCTGTATTGTGCAATTGCGACCTCCTTGTTCTTAGAGACGTCATGCCAACACCGCCTGTTGTGGTATGTTCATCGATATGATGCATGTAATATCGCCGATGATACCCGTATCAAATACATCACCGTCGAATAACCATTTCTTGCTTGTTTAAATTTTAGCCACGATTAAACTTGGGTGTATACAGTTTACAGCCTCAGGTGCATACTACAGATCAGTACGAACATTTATCTGGTCAAAGATACTTGGTGTAGATCACCCAGGCCATATTCCGTAGTAACATAGTGGCTTGGGCAAGCTTCCACCTCCTCAGATACAGTTGGTAACTGATCCACGGTATTTCTCCACACGAACTGTTGTAATCATGGTTTATCCAGACGCGTTGGTTAGCTGACCAAGCATTTCTCGTCCGGTTACATTGGTTCACCAACCAGTTTGTGTCTTCTCAGATACTTTGGCTTATACCTGGTCAACAGACACAGACGATCTGATCAAGCATGTGTATCATTATTAATAGTCGTATTCCCAAGGTACAGGTTACTTGGTTGAGCACACAACTCACCATAAATAGTAGTAATATATTCCTAATTACACAGATTAATTGATCAAGCATGCATCTCACGATAAATATTTTTTTCATATTTTCTTTGGATGCACCAATAACCTGATCAAGCACACATCTCATCATAGTTAGTAGCCATACTATCCCCAGATAGATATATTCAGCATTCTACAGCCGCATTAGTTACACGTGTCTCCCCAGATGCACTTCACAATGAATAGCTGCATAAATTCAGTTGATAAGTTGATATTGGATCGAGCAAACAGTCACCATGATTCGTGGTAAGATGCTCCCTCGATTACGTGACCAAACATTCAGTTCATCTTTAATAATATGAATACATAAATGTCACTTATGACTCATCACACACTCCACAGCTTTATTACGTACGCGTGATGTCTCTCTGCATGCACTTCGTGTCGTCAACAAAGACAGCGTAGATCGCGGGGTATATATGCTAGTAACTCTCTCAGAAATGTAGCCACTGAATTGAGCGATCATTTCTATCTGTAGATAAACGCTTGGTGCAACACACAAGCCAGTGACAGAACATTTGTAATAGACACTGTCTCTTTGAGTGTGATTTAAGTGTGACTGTTGGAACACGAGCTTCATTATAACAGGATGGATCTGAAAAGGTACTGGATCTACAAAGATATCAACAATCTACAAAACAAAGAAGAAATCATACACGTGTGAGGATAAGAATGCGGAAGAGAATTTCATTAGAATGAGGAAGAGGAAGAGAAAGAGAAAGAGGATGATGATGATGATGAAGATGAGGATAAGGATGGGGATGAGAACGAGGAAGAAATGAGAATGAGGTTGAGGATGACGATGAGAATGAGAATGACAAAGAAAATGAGGTTGAGGAAGAAAATCAGGACGAGGAAGAAAATGAAGATGAGGAAGATAATGAGGATGAAGATGAGAATCAGGATGACGATGTTGAAAAAACTAACGAAGAGAATGAGGATAAGAATGAGGATGCAGAAGAAAATGAGGATGAGGAAGAAAATGAGAATGAGTATTAGTATGAGGAAGAAAAACAGAAAGAGGACAAGGAAGAGAATGGGGATGGGGATAGGGATAAGGAAGAGAACGAGGATGAAAATGAGGAAGAGAATGAGGACGAGGAAGAAAATGAGGATGAGGATGAGGTTAAAGAAGGGAATGGGGCTGAAGATGAGGAAGATTATGAGGATGAGGGGGCGAATGACGATGACGATAATGAATTGAATGAGGAAGAGAATGAGGATGAAGGTGAGGATGAGGATGAGAATAAGGAAAAGAATTTATGGTGAAAATGTGGAAGAGAATGAGGATGAGGACGACAGTGATGATAAGGACGACAGTGAGGATGAGGACGAGGGAGAGGATGAAGAAGATAATGAGGAAGACAGATGAGTCCCTTATTCGTGCTAGGATCCGCTGATTGTTGGTTCGGGTCTGATTGTGATCCATGGTTTGTCGACAGCATATACATGAATTCCACATGTCATAATAATATAAGCCTATAACGAAGTTATCTTACCGCCATGTTTTTAATATACAACAGTTTGAAAGCAGAGTCCATGGTACGATTCCGGATGTATGTTTATCATGTTTATGAATCACGGTCAAATAGTAATGAGAGTATGCTGGCTCAACACTTCACCTGTAAAAACACGGGAATAATGGTACAAGTCAAAGTACAGACTTGCAGTGGACATTTTTGTCACTTATGCGTCAAATTTGGAAATGTCCTCCACAGGAAGACAATAAAACCCTTTGAAAGCTTTAGTTTTCAAAATCACGACTACAGTACAAGGAGTGATTATCAGCAACAGATGTATCTGTATAGTGCACTCTGCCATCATATATACGTCAAACAAATAAACGCTTTTGTCCACACTGGAAGTATCCTCAAAAGAATACCTCGAACGCCTGTAAGTGTTTTGCCAATGTCTGGCTTGGATATATCAGAGACCGTTCTGGTCGTACTCCCATTCCCAGGTGAGTGGAATGTCAGTGCCAGCAGAACTGACATATACCGTGAACTTATACAATGAGGGGATTGCCTAAAAGTCGGGCCAAGAAAAGTCGGGCCGGGCCGGGCCAGCGGGTAATACTAAAAATGGATTGCAGAATAATAAAACGAAACGCGCATATCTAGGCAGATCTCAAATGTCCACAAACGTATAGTTTTGCTCATTTAATTGAGTTTGAATAAAAATGCACCTTCAACAATGTAATTAACTGATGATTATGACTACATACCGTGAGTCTCGTAGAAAAGTCAGCGTCTTGACTGTGTATTCTTTGATTAGAATGCTTCTCACCGACCTTAGCGTGTAGGGGTGTGATGTCCTGGGCAGGAAACGACAGTGTTTTGACTACTCTTCTTTCATTAATTAACGTGTTTAGGTAATTAACCTTTACTAATTCGTGTTAAACCAACACAGGATGTTTTCTGGAAATGGATATTCTCGAATGTCAAAAGACTGACACGACACGTGTTAATAACTGACCAAGCACTTCTAAAGTTCCTAACATTATTTATATCTAAACACTAGTATTTTATCTAATTATTTACCACTTTATTGTCTCATATTTCAGTAGTTAAAGAAAACACAGAACTCAAAGTGAAGCCCTTTTCCCTCTACATTCTCAACATAGTCTCTATCAGAAGTGTTTGGCTTGTGTTGGGTCCGACTTGGCCCGGGCGGTCAAAATCAACTTTAAACACACAGATGTATCTTCAAATGTGATTAAATCTATAGATTAGTGTTATATCTACCTATACACCAATTTATAATGTCCAGGTGTATCGCATTTAAAGAAATCTGCGCCCTTAAAGTGAAGCATTTTTACTGTATTTTCTTTAAAAAATCCAAGTCAGAAATGTTCGGTCCGACCTGGCCCGGGCTGTTAAAATCAACTTAAACCTCACAGATGTATCATCAAGTGGATTCACATCTATAGATTAGTATTATATCTACCTATACACCACTTTATAATGTCACAGATTGCAGTATTTATAGACAACAAGGGGCTCGAAAGTGAAGCCCTTTTCCCTCTACATTCTCAACATAGTCTCTATCAGAAGTGTTTGGCTTGTGTTGGGTCCGACTTGGCCCGGGCGGTCAAAATCAACTTTAAACACACAGATGTAACTTCAAATGTGATTAAATCTATAGATTAGTGTTATATCTACCTATACACCACTTTATAATGTCACAGATTGCAGTATTTATAGACAACAAGGGGCTCGAAAGTGAAGCCCTTTTCCCTCTACATTCTCAACATAGTCTCTATCAGAAGTGTTTGGCTTGTGTTGGGTCCGACTTGGCCCGGGCGGTCAAAATCAACTTTAAACACACAGATGTATCTTCAAATGTGATTAAATCTATAGATTAGTGTTATATCTACTTATACACCACTTTATAATGTCACAGATTGCAGTATTTATAGACAACAAGGGGCTCGAAAGTGAAGCCCTTTTCCCTCTACATTCTCAACATAGTCTCTATCAGAAGTGTTTGGCTTGTGTTGGGTCCGACTTGGCCCGGGCGGTCAAAATCAACTTTAAACACACAGATGTATCTTCAAATGTGATTAAATCTATAGATTAGTGTTATATCTACCTATACACCAATTTATAATGTCACAGATCGCAGTATTTATAGAAGACATGGGGCTTAAAGTGAAGCCCTTTTCCCCTCTACATTCTCAACATAGTCTCTATCAGAAGTGTTTGGCTTGTGTTGGGTCCGACTTGGCCCGGGCGGTCAAAATCAACTTTAAACACACAGATGTATCTTCAAATGTGACTTAATCTATAGATTAGTGTTATATCTACCTATACACCAATTTATAATGTCCAGGTGTATCGAGGTAAACCCAAGTACAGTACAGAAACTGAAGTAATTTGGGCTCTCTTAGTTTTCTGTATGCTTATACGTCATACTGTATTTAATTATGTTTCTTATTCTAAGAGGGCGGTCGGGTCGAGAGTGGTTAAAGCGTTCGCTCGTCACGCCGAAGACCCGGGTTCGATTCCCAACATGGGTACAATGTGTGAAGCCCATTTCTGGTGTCCCCCGCCGTGATATTGCTGGAATATTGCTGAAAGCGGCGTAAAACCGTACTCACTCACTCACTAACTTATTCTAATACTGCTAATGTTTGTCAGTGGCCAGTGATAGTATGTTTTATGGAATAGTATCTTTCATACCAATATGGTGATATGTTATAACTTTATTTCGTACTTGCGAGGGACACGACACTATCATAGCTTACAAAAGTATTCTGGAAGCATTTTAGGACAAACATGTTAACGTAAGTTCAAAAGAAAATAAATGGGTTTTGTTAATTAGCCTCACCAAATGCATAAGTTATCAATGAAACGGTCTGCTATTAACTACAGCTCAAGACAGCTAATTAAGGGCAAATGGTTGATTGATTACGCAACACCTACTTGATTGCAATTAAGCAAGGGGCAATTAAGCAAGCTGGGTACAGGTGTAATTTGGATTAATTCCACACTTAACGTGCATATACGGACGCAATGAGAAGGATCGATGAGACACAAGACTTGAAGTAAGGCAAAAACGTTTCTCCAGTATAATCGAATAATCAAATTAGCGCATTGTGAGACGATGCTTGAACTGTGAAACCAAACATTAATGTTATCAACTCAAGTTCGGGTGCAGGAAGTGTTTTTCTTGCAAAAAAAGATGTACATGTGCATATAGGTACGAAAACCTGGTCCCTAAGTGGTACCTCAGATGTAAGTACAAATACTAACAGTTCACGATAATCTTCAACATTGAGATGTGTTCACATGTGTTAACCAGTAGTACGTTACGAATAATTCTCAATTGGAAATATTATGCGTATGTTTTATGAGTACATGTGAATAAGTTTTGTAAATGCATTCTCAACCCGCATCGGTATATTTCTAATTACAGTTTAGTTTGCGTTCGGGAAAGAAACCGTAAGTGTCTACACCTGATGTAAGAACAAATATTGCGTAAAATGGCAAAAAATAATTGAGAAAGTTAAAACACATGTTTAAAATTCACATTACAATAAATATGAATATGAATGTTGCGTTTTCTGAATCAGCATAAAAAAGGAACATGTGTGAGTCTTGAGATAGTGTTTTTTTACATTTCTTATAAATTCAAAACACGTTTGACTAAAGATCATAGCTTATGACACCATATAAACATGCCAAGACTTCAACACGCGTTATCTGTTGTTGGAATAAACAGCTTAAGATACAATTTATTCAGCAACATAGCTGCAAAACTTACTCTACAATGAGATCAAACAAGGTATACAAGCTTAGATTAATCTCGAGAATGGGGAAGTCAAAAGCATTTACTCACTTATTTTGGAATTATAAATATTGTATAACTAATAACGGGAAGTGGAATGGCATGTAGTACATGCATCGTACTAATAGTGACACAATTAGATGCCAACAACTACGCCCCGTCTACGCAGCCTGCCAGTTTCTAATTATTTGGAATAATCCTTTCCGGCGTTTCTTTCAATTATAAAGGACTCATTTCATACGTAGGGGTCTGTGATCTAAAAAACACAATTGGTATGTTTACGTAGACATAAACACGTGGTGTGGTTTGGTATGGTCAGTAACTGACAACCTGCTGATGACAAATGTCAACACACCAGGTCAGTAAACTGACCACTACAATGATCGAAGGATGTGTTACGTCCATGCATCTAACAGTTGAAACATTTGTTTCTCTTTGTTGAAGTTCACGGATGACAAGGTAGACACAACTTTATGGGTAACGTCTACCTTGTCAATCGTTTTCTACCAAGGATTTACGATTGGGAGGCCTCTAAACGTGTAAGTTATTTTCCTTTTCAAAAGAATAGGATTTCAATCAAAAGGTTACAGTTAAAATGACTTATACAACGTTTAAATCTATAAGGTTATGGTGAATTTTGGCTCAGGCGAAACAATGCTTCACTTTGTATACATGTTAATACATTTGATACATCTGTGAGCTTTAAGTTGATTTTAACAGCCCGGGCCAGGTCGGACCGAACATTTCTGACTTGGATTTTTTTAAGAAAATACAGTAAAAATGCTTCACTTTAAGGGCGCAGATTTCTTTAAATGCGATACACCTGGACATTATAAATTGTTGTATAGGTAGATATAACACTAATCTATAGATTTAGTCACATTTGAAGATACATCTGTGTGTTTAAAGTTGATTTTAACAGCCCGGGCCAGGTCGGACCGAACATTTCTGACTTGTTTTTTTTTAAAGAAAATACAGTAAAAATGCTTCACTTTAAGGGCGCAGATTTCTTTAAATGCGATACACCTGGACATTATAAATTGGTGTATAGGTAGATATAATACTAATCTATAGATTTAATCACATTTGTAGATACATCTGTGTGTTTAAAGTTGATTTTGACCGCCCGGGCCAAGTCGGACCCAACACAAGCCAAACACTTCTGATAGAGACTATGTTGAGAATGTAGAGGGAAAAGGGCTTCACTTTGAGCCCCCTATTGTCTATAAATACTGCGATCTGTAACATTATAAAGTGGTGTATATGTAGATATAACACTAATCTATAGAGGTAATCACATTTGAAGATAAATCTGTCTGTTTAAAGTTGATTTTGACAGCCCGGGCCAAGTCGTAGCGAACTGTGTGACTGTCGAGAGTAGAGGGAGAAGAGGTCTACTTTAACCAACGTGTCTGCTTTAAATACGATGAACAGTGACGTTATAAAGTGGTATTTACTTAGATATAGTACGTTCCTATAATATAAACGCTATGCCGACAGATGGAAATTCGTATGACGATAGCTAGAAGTATTTGATACGTGTCAAATCCTATTTCGTTTAACGATTGCTCTTTTACATGTTACCTAGATCAGCGACGCTAACACACAGCTCCACTTTCTAGTTTTTAAGTGATTTACTCCGAATTACTTAATTATGCTGCACGTTTTGGATTGGTGATTGTTCAGTAGTGTCATGTGTGTATGT